TCTACTATTTACTGTATTGACATCTTCTGATTGTTATTGTTTTACACCACACTAATTAGGAATTTAGGAAGAAAGACAGACGCCACGAAATATGCATCCAGATTAGAATCAGAAGCGGAATAAAACGGATACAAAATAAATCAAATCTCTAGTTAGATCAGAACTTAATTAACAGAGTCTTACTCACAAAAATATTACACGTCTTACGACAGCGAATTGTTCTCTTTTGGCCAAACAAGCTAACGATTTATTTCGGTAATTTTCTTATTTTATTAAAATTTTTATTAAAATTGCAAATTTATCGATATTTGTTGAACAAAATATTTAATAGCATTAATAAATTATTAATTTAATTACTTTGTATCAGTAAAAATAATGTTTCAGTTTTAGTTTGTACAGTTTTCACGTTCAAGTCAGAAAACTGAAAAAATGTGCAATGTCCTCCTCGGGATTCGAACTCCAACCTCCTGAGTACGCGACGACCGTGCTTCCAGTTGCATTACGAACGCATGCAGTAAGGAGGGAGACATAAGAATGTTTCGAATGAGACATCAGACTGTTTTTCGAAGTCTGAAAACTAAAGAAATCAGCAATGCCCTCACTGGGATTCGATTTGAACTTCTAATCTCAGGAACGCGTCGAGCATGCATCCGCGAAGGCAGGCTGAAAGGAGAGACGAAATTCCTCGTAAGCTGACTATACGCCATATATTTTCTTTTTCGATAAGAAAGAGAACCACTAATAAAAAAGTAAGTTCATAGATTTAATTTAAGAACCCACGTAATGCATTTTTTTTAATTGAAATGCAAAAATATTGGCGAGCTTCGGAAAAAAAAAAAAATATATGAATACAATAAAATAAAAAAGCAGTTTTTGATTAACAAACTTACTTTTCGATAAACAAAGCGAGCAATGAAACACTGTAAGGAAAAAAATCTTCAGCGCACGAGACTGTACATCGGAAACTCTAAAGGTATGCTCTTTTTAAATAGTGTCAGATATTACTATTGAATTGAATTTTGTGGTTTATGTGCGCAGAAAATTATGTTTGATAAATAAAGGTAACACAGAAAACGTATAAATAAAAATAACACACAAAACGTTAAGAAAACGCCCTTTAGGGCATAATATAAAATCTGAAATCTTTCAGTTATTTTTTAGCCCAAAGGGCGTTATCCCACTAGGTTTATTAATTTCGGTTTGACATTTTGCGTTGATTCATTTTTCAAACTGTTGTCACCAAATATTACAACCCTGTATTATATTTAAACAAATTATATAATGAAGAATCTGCATAAATTTTAGTATGTTTTTCGCATTGTGATATAACAACGGTACCTACAGCCATCAAATTTTGAATGAATATGGGCATCTGGAAGCCCTAATTTGGAACTTAGAACATTTTATTATCTATTCCATATTTTGTCAGACATTAAAGAATTTTTGATTAATTAACTCATCGATTTCAAAGCGAGGAATGGCAGCACTGTACGAAAACAAAATATCGCCAGCGCGCAACAGTGTATCGGAACTTCTAAAGAAATACACATTTTAAAATTATTTTGCGATATTGCCGTTGAATTGAATTTTATGGTTTAAGTGCGAGGAACATGATATGTAATAAATAAATGTAACACACATAACATTAAAAAACGCCCCTTTTGGGCGTAATGTAAAATCTGAATGCTTTCAGAATTTTTCCTGTTGATTCTTTTTTTTCCTTAAGCCCAAATGGGTGTTAGATCCAAAGAGCTATTAGTCTCAAAACGGCATTTTGCTTCGTTTCACATTCTGCGTTGATTCACTATTCAAACTCTTTCCACCAAATATTATCGCTCTGTATTATATTTAAAGAAATTAAATAATGAAGAATTTGCATGAATGTATGTTATGTTTCCAGTACCTAGGGCAATTAAATGTGTATAACCTAATCATCCACGCGAACATCGGCACCTGGTTCCCCGAATTTTGAATTTCGAATTTATTTTATTATCTATTTTATATTTTTGTAAAACTTTAGCGAGTCTTTGATTAATAAACAAAAATTTTCTCTCTGTATTATTTTTAAAGAAATTAAATTAATTAGAATGTGCATAAACATAGGTATTTTTCTCGCATTCGGGAAAAAAAAGACGGAACGTTGAGCCATCAAATTATAAATAACATAATCCTTTACTCGAACATGGGCACATTGAACGCTGAATTTTGAATTTCGAAGTTGGTTTATTATCTATTTCACATTTTTAAACCTTTAGCGAATTTTTGATTAACAAAATTTCAAAACAAGCAATGGTAACAATGTACAGAAAAAAAAAATATATCTAGCGGGCGAGACTGTCTGTTGAAAATTTTAAAGATTTCTGTTTTCAAATATTTTGTGATAGTGCTTTTGAATTGAATTTCATGCGGTTTAAGTTCGAAGAAGATGATATATAATAAATAAAGATAACACAAAAAAACGTTAAAAAAACCTGTTTGTGCGTAATATAAAATCTAAACGCATCCAGATTTTTTTTTTTTTTTTAAATCAAATTTTACTGACTAAATACATTTGAGCAAACCATTCAGCCTACATTGTGATGCAAAGTAGAAAAAAAATGTTCTTTTGAAATTAAAATTAAAATCAGTTCAAAACTATTAATAATACCAAGCCCTTTTAAAAGCCATTTCCTATAATATGCAATAATTAGATTATAATCATTTGCTTGAATGGTTTGAATGGTGTTAACAATTAATCTACCTGTCTCCGCAAAATCATAATTATTAATTGTATTAAATAATAATAACAACAATAATAATAACGATTAAAATCTGAAGGGTTTTGTATTTTAGGGACCACCGAAAGGGGCTCTTTTAATGTTTAGTAAGGTTTATGAGTACAGAATATCAATAGAAATGTCCCAGGTAGAATAGCGAAATATCAGATATTAGTCGAACATGCATTTAAACTAACATGAAAATGTATATATATTCTGTAAACTTAAAAAAAAGTAAACAATATATAATATAATACTATTAAATATTGATTTTTATTAGGTATATCATGACATTATTGAATTTTAATTTAAATGAATCAGATTGAAAAGTAATATTCTTCAGAGCTGCATATATGGCTTTTAAATAGTTTAGTTTGCTAATTAATAACAGAGAAATTAAATATGAAAGAATAATATTTTATGTTTTTTCGAATGGCAACAAACTCTGATTAAAAGTGAAAGAAGGAATTAAGTGTAGGAATGCATAATTGTGTTTTGAAACTAATAGCCTGTTTGGCTAATAACAGCAATAATAATAATAACAATCCTGATAAATAAAGATCAGTTTTAGATATTTAAAATTGATAATAGTAACTAATTACTATTATCAATTTTAAGTATATAAACTAGAAAGTAACACATTCATTTAAGAAATTTTTTAATTTACGTTCGATGACGATTATATATTTACAAAAGACTTCCTGATATTTTTTTTTTTTTTTTTTTTTTTTTTTTTTTTTTTTTTTAGTTCTAGCTCGTAAACGATTTTGTTAGAAAGTCCTCCACGAAAGGCATCCCTCCTTTTAGGCAGATAGCCCTAGTGTGCTTTGCCATAATTAAATACACCACCACCACCGTAAACGATTTTGCTCATTTAGGATGCCTTGATCGCTGTAATATTTAGTTTCACAAGTAATTACGTTTCAAGAGAATCTTAAAAGTATTTTTTGAGAAGTTCTCAAAAATATTTTAGAATCCTATCGTATAGGTTGAATCTAAAAAAAAGTTCGAGAAACTTTATTTTTGAACTGATATTAAGTACTTTTTTACTTTTAAATTGTTCTCATTTAAATTATTAAAATTTCTCTTCAGTTCTGTTTGACTATTCGCGTAAAAAACTTAATTTCACTTTTAATATATTTTATTTTAGCAGCAGTTTTAAGTTTTTGCACCTGAATTTTCGTAAATCTTTTACTTTAATTACTTTTACTGATACTTTTCGTATCTGTATAAAACCTTACTTGGATATTCACCATGTGAACACACAGTAAATTGAAACTTTACAAAAACTGAATATTCACTTTGAAAGCTAGAATTTATTTATTCAGTGGCAATTGCTCTATACTCAGAATTTTTTCATTCCACATTTCGGCGTTTCAACGTAAATGAATTGCTCTGGTCTAAAAGTGACTATTTCGGAGAGTAAAATTTTGCGAAAAGAGGAAAATATAAATATTTATATACATGGTATATGCATGTATAACTAACTTTACATGTTAATATTGCAAAAGAGAAAATGCTGTAAGAAAATCTCTAATATTTCAATAGAAACATTTTGTCACATATTTTAATAAATACATAAAGCAAATCTAAGGAAAGCATACATGTACCTTTTACTAAAATATTAATTACATATAAGATTATTACTTTGCAATTTAATCCCTAATATGTATTAATAAAATAATATTTAAATTTTTCTAAACAATATTTTAAGAAAGAGTATCATTCTGTCTCTATATATTAATATAAATGTCTCTATATATCTGTCGACAAATGGAAGAGAGTTTCTCAAAATGTCTTGATTTTACATGAATACAAATAATGAAATTAAACGCATTCTTTCAGAGGAGAAAGCAGTTTCTAAATTTACGGTGTATTTTATTTGATATCAATTACAAACATAGACAGAATTTTGTCAGTTTAACCTTTCTATTAATGTATCAAGTTTTGATCTCTTAGCTGTTAACATATTACTTATGAACTACTGCCAGCAGAATATTTTGTTACTTTCAGCGACTAAACTGTGGTATATAATACAAAATAAATCATTTTGAATTAAAACTCATTTAAGGGTGAAATTAAGTATTGAAGTCTTTCTTTGATTATTATTAAGCAGCGATCTACATCAGAAAACACGTTTGCGAAAGATTTCTCTTTTTCCGGTAAAACGCGCAAACTGACAAATGCATAACAACTAACTTTTCTTCTCCAGGATGTCGGAATTAAATTTGTTTGGTTACTTACCCGCAGCCAAAAGCCAAGATAAAGCAAAAGTCACTGAGCGCATGAAGAATTCCATAGTAATAATCATTTATCCAAAACTTTTAATTCAGCACAATATCCTGGAAGAAGTTTTCAAACGACCGAGTCAACCGAATTGTTTCATTTTCGGTACAATGCCCACAGGGAGGCATGCGCCGCAGGACGCTGACATGTCACAATCTTCTCCCGTTTTTCCTGCTTTTTATTTATTTTTTATTTTTTCCTGTTTTCGACAGCTTCAGTTCCGCCCGACCGCTCCTCAGCGAGCGTAAATGAAAGACTGCCGAAGAGGTCTGGCCTGTTGCAGTTGAGTGTGTTGTCACAGCGCCCCCTGTGCAGAGGGTTTGCCAGTGAAGACTCATTCCTCCCCCCTCTCACGTGCCGCGCCGTCACTTTAAATGCTGAGAAAGTCCACTCGTTAAACTGCGTGCAAAAATTGCTGCTATCTGCCAGTCTTCGGCCAATGCAAATTCATCGATAGACGTGTCTGGGATGTTTATCACATCTATTTATCACCTAACGATTTTCAGAGCATATTAATAAATCTGTAATGTACACAAAAATAGCTACAGTCCTTGAAATCTATGTTCATGTTTTTAGAAGCTATAAATTAGTGGAACTCAACTGTATTCATTTCACCCAGGGCCGGTGTAAACGGTATATCGCACTTATTGCTAAGTTTTTTATGTTCCTGAGCAAAAGAGGGCAAAGACTGTATTCGATGGCAGTAACATTAGTATACGTCCTGATGACTCCCGAAACATACTGTAGAGACATTAGGTTTTTTTTTTATGCTGGAGACGGGAGAAATGAGCAATGCTCATGCCGGGATTCGAACCTGGACCTCTTGAATACTCCCCGAGTGTGCTACCGTTACACCATGCTGGGAAGAAGGAGAAAATACCTTATAATATAGTTTCTGTTCCCAGCTGAACGGGCTGGCTGCTTATTGATATTTTCTTTACATGGCTGCTTATTGACATTTTCTTTACATGTTTTATGAAATTACTAATGACCGAATGACTTAAGTCGTGAAGCTCTGGTAGCTCATTCGATTTGACTTTCCGGTGGCTAGCTGAATAAGCCACTGCATCAGATTTCGTATGATTCTCCATGCCTATTCAAAATGAAAGTCATTGTCCATTAAAATGCCTGCATAAAAGAATAATTTCCATGGCTGAGTTCACCATCACCATAAGCGGTAAAACTGGTGAACATCGATACTTCGACACGAGATCAAATCCCACCGAAGCAACATGAATACGATTCAATTTGTTTTAAAAAATCCTCGATAAAGGTATGGTTTACCTTCAGCAAATAATCTTTGTGCACTTTGCATTAATTTAAGAAATCGAGTATCCAACGTCTTCTTTAAGCAAATCTCTCTCGAAGAGTTTTAAACAATTCCTAAATCTAACGTTATAAAATACATAAATGAATGCATGTAACTGTGAAAATTTGTTTTATATAAAATTAAAGGATATTAACGTCACACAACAAAGAATTTTCACATTTTTAAGTTGAGAACATGTTTATGGGAAGATCCAGATATGTAGATTAAATGAAACAATGCCACCCTCAATGAAATAGGAAAACAGTTTAACAATCATCTTTTATTTAAAATTAGGCAAAACCTTATAGTTGGCACTAATTTTAATTGAAACTCTATCGATTTTGAGGAAAAACAAATACAAGTTCCTCTTCGTCAAGTACAAAAAGAAATTTGCTAACAACCGAAAAGCCATGACGGTATTTATGCCAAAAACAAAGATTGGAGCAAAGCGAGGTTTGGAAGTGCAACCCAGATTCGATCCCACGCAAATGCGCTTGCAGCATGGTTAGTTTTTGTGTTTTAATATTGCATAACATAACTCGAGTTATGTACGCATAACATATTAATATGAATACATAAATCGTATATATACGAGTTAGTTTCCCTTAGAATGTCACCCACGAAAGCATCCCTCTTCTTAAGCAGAGATACCTCGCGTACTTTGCTAGATCTAAATAATCTAACTTAAGCATTACCCATCTCATAAAGAACTGCAGCAAGAATACTTTACTTTACTGCCTAAAGGAGGGAATAAAAAACGTAAGGTTCTTCGTTGAATCGTACCTATAGCTTTGTTTGAAGAAGAATTGAAATACTGTTTTAAAAATATGGATTTCAACATTTAGTTCTTTATAGAATATGCTTTATCTTATAGTTTGTCTTTCCGATTCCAAGAAAACAATTGATAAAAACAATAAACATCACCACTAGATACAAAAATCAAGGGACATTCAACAAAAAGTTTTAAAAATACAGATTCAATCGTTGAATGCCGCAATACCTCTCAATGATTTATTTGACTTGATTTGGGTTCGATTCTCAGTCGAATGGGTTAGCTGCATGACTGGTTTTCCCTGTGTGTAACGTGATTTTAGGCCGTTTGCCCTAAGCCATCCCTCCTCTTAATCACATAACCGTCTCGGTTTTGTAACATTCAAATAAGCTAACGTAACTTCCACCTTTAAAAAAATATAGAGAAAAGAAAACATCATTTCCACACTTTCAAGAAAATTAGGAAAATGTGCCGGAAAACAAGATATAAGACAAAGCAATTTTATCTTTTATTATTTGATTGTTCAAAGTATTAATGAATGCGTAGTTTACACTTATTGGCATCTTCATTAAATTTAGGAATTTTGCAGCCCTCATACATACACTTAAAATGTAACCTTTATCTAACAACAGGTTGAAACTCCGGACTTTTATCATCATCAAGGAAGCAAAGACATTTAAATTAATCATGTGCATGACTACAACCTAATCAACAATTATTTCATCAAAGGACAGAAGTTCTACTTCTGATTGTGAGTATTTAGCTATTTTCCCTCAAAAAGACTTCTCCTATCATTTTTTGTACATTAGTTTAGAAATGCTGTACAATTTGCTGTAGCCATTTGTTGCACTTTATGTTTTTCCCATCGATGTTAGGTTGAACTCATTCCATGTAAAAATGCCCTGCTGCTACTCTCTTACTATTTTGTTCAGCATACCAACTAATAACCTTCTTAACTAATAAAACTGTCATCTGTATCTAATTCTTCCACCATACTTTCTCGACTTAGTAATATGACTGAATGACTTAGTCATATGAATAGTTCTTGACTGTGAGTGAAATCAGAATGATAGAAATGATTCATGTGCACAGATATTTATGCATAGAATTCAGTTTGGGTGCAGGATTGAATAGGATTTTATACATATAAATCTTTCCCTTTTCTATTTAATGTGCTTAGAATATTTATTTGTTCATATCAAATGATGTTGCACTTTCTTAAAAAAATTCGTTCAGTTATGCATACAATAAACTAAGTATACGCATTTCATTCCATTAGGAATAAGAGTTCTTTTAATTTTTACTTTCCTGTACGAAGTAAAAAGGAAGCACTGTAATCGGGAAAGATTTCGGGTATCATATTTCAACGAAAATATCCATTTTGACTGCTATCGAATGCAACTGAACGATGTACTGGGGTGACATCTGTGCGTAAATGTAAAACTGATTTAAAATGGATTCTGAAGATATTTTTCCGTGGAGTCTGTATCTCGCATAACTCAAAACCGAGTAGTCTCAGACCGTTGAAATTTTATATGTAGGGCTGCTATAACATGTAGACGTTCACCTCCCATTTTGGTTGCAATCGATTGCACCAAAAGTATATAAATCTATCTATCTATCTATATATCCATTCTGTTACTCGTTTCAGTGAGCTCAGTTTCTTTATTCTTATATGTTTGTAAACTGCGCATTTTTTTTTTTTTTTTGCTTAAAAAATGACTGAATTATGTTGTTATTATCTTCCGGTTAAGGTTTTTATGCCTTTAATTAACCTGCAAGTTATAGTTGCGGAAGTATACACAATTTTAAAGTTGTTTAAGTTCGGCTAAGCCTAATTTGTTTACCATAGCAGCCATATTTGTTTACATTTGAAACTTGTAAAATTTAAAGAAGTGGATTTGTTGCAAATCTAGAGAAACTAAGCTTCAACAACAAAGTAACGTCTTCTTTTATTATTGAGAAAAAAATCCTGCTTAATTCATTCTAGAATTATCATTTAAGTTATTAAATTATCCAATATATTGACTCAGCACAGCGTGCACAACAAATTAAGGCAGTTTCTATGCCTTCAGTGTACTTTTCCCGAGTCAGACCAAAAGTAAACTTTCTGTTTTGTGCACCGAAAATTCTGCCTTCTTGCCCGCTGGCCGAATCACTTCTTTTCGCGTGGAAGCTGTAATCATAATTGTAAAAGTGTTTTTATTTCACTTGGTGTTTTATGTTTTTCTATATCTTTCAAATTTTAATGAAAACATTTTGAATTTTATACATTTTGCCTTGTCGCGAAGTGAGAACTGAATTAAATAGTAGCGCATGCGCATTAGGTAAGCGGCGCTGAATCATCTGCGAAAAAATTTTTCTTTTTTATTTGTTTAATTTCTTTTATACATTACTTTAAATTCATTACAGTATTTGAATAGAACACGTGGTTAATTCTTCAGATGATATAATTTGTGTGCACTCTGAGTTATATAAAATGGATGAGATGTAACGCTGTGAAGTGAACATAGTTCCAAACTGTCGCTATGGTAAATAAATGTAGTGAACTTTAAAGAGTGCATTTATTCTATTGTGGTTAATGCGCTATCGACGAAGTAGATTTAATTAGAAATTCATTAACTGTTAATTCAATATGTTTAAATGAAATGCAGGAAAATTGCGTATAACTTAATATTCCGTACAAGGAAGTCATGGGGTGTACACATCAGATTTTTTCTGCTTCTATGCTTATTATTGTAGTTTTTGAAAAAAAAAATTCTTGTTAACCCTGGAAAGCGCTATATTGCACATCTGAGGTTTGGAGTATCAATGCAGGCTGATTGTTGTTGACGTCATATTTTGACCAGATATATGACATCATTAGGAGTAGACTGATAGCAACCCCTTAAAGGCATTTAAGAATAAAAATAAATGCTGATGGCCAGAAATGAACAAAAATTTATATAAAATTGAATAAGTAGCACTGGGGACTGTGCACTTGGAGGAAGGGGCATCTAAACCTGGTATTGCTCAAGGCAGCTTTACACTGTTAATCGCCGCAAACACTAGAGGCGATCTGAGGAGGCATAAACCCCTGCTCAACTCAGGGGGACTTAAGTGTTTCACGTAGTCTGAGTTATAAAGTAT